ATCAACTTGGTGGTATAGAGGACCGTTAAATAAAAAACAACAATTCTTAACTGGGAGGTTTAAGAGATTAGTAAAGTTGCGGCGACTGAGGCTTTGAAAAGAATTATGGTGGGCGAACAAAGGGTTAGTAATTATTTCAATGGTTTCATCAAAGGGGATGTTAGTAAAGAGTGAAGAGATGTCAAAACTGGCCATTACAATATTATCAGTGTTGATGTTCAGGGATAAAATTTCCTGGGTGAAAGAAAAGGAATCTTTGATCATGAAAGAATTGGACGAGATTGGGGTGAGAATGAGGATGAAAAATTTAGCTATCTTATCCGAGTAATGATTTATACATGATAGGATAGGCCTTAGTGGTATGTCGGTTTTATGTACTTTGGGTAGTCCATAGAGAATACCTATTCGTGAACCTGTTTTGTAGTGTTTGTCATATGTTCTTTGATCAATCGATTTAGATGCTTTCAAGCTTTTCAGGAGATTCTTTACTTGGTTTTCACGTTGTAGAGTCAATTTGACGGGTTTTGATTTAAGCGCACGAACTTTGAGTTGTCGGATAAGATTTCATCCATTTTTTTGTTGTAGTCGTCTTTGTTTAAGATGACAAAGCCGTTTCCTTTATTGGGTTTCATTATGACGATGTTGCAGTCGTTTCGTAAATCATTCAACGTGTTGATGTCTTTCCTTGAATACAAAAAGTTTGGTGGATTATAAATGTGAAAACCAGATTGTGCGTTGTCTTTTATCCGAGTCCTTATGAATTCCGGGTAGAATCCAGAGGGCTCATAAATGGGTTCTTGTTTAATCTGTGAGTATAACCTTTCAAAAGACGTGAGAAAATGGCAGAAATTGAGTTTCGATGGTGGTAAGGCAAATTTAGACCTTTTGAAAGAATTTCTTTCTCCTTGTCTGTGATTAGTTGGTGTGAGAAATTAAAGACTACTGTATTAGGATCTATCATGTTTAAGTTTTTATTGTCAGCAGTGAGGTGGACAAGCTTTTTGTCTTGTATACATTGATTGTTCAGTTTCTTTGAATTTTCGCTGTCAGAAGTGTTCTTTAGGTGAATGAAATCAATTTTGGAGTTGAGCGAAGCAAGGTTCGCATGTGCTGTTGCCAGTGGCATAGCTAGCGGTCCCGCTACTCCCGCCCGGCGGGAGTAGAAATTTCCCAAAAAAATAATAAATATTCTATTTGGACATAAGATATACATTATTTCACGAACAATTTGTAATATTATGTTTTATTCGTTCATATTTACGCTTTTATTAGGTGGTTCGTAATCGTAATACAGCAAAATCTCAAGATTTGTTATGTAACCTAGCAACCGCCTTTTCTCGCACATTGCATACTCGCGCGATTCTCCACGTATTCCGCCCATCTTCAGAGGGCGGAACATACAATATAATTCTATATAAGAAGTTTTGAATTCTGGTTGGCTAAGGGACTTGACGCATGCTCAAATCTGCTGTTTTATAGTCGAACTCCCGCTATTTTAAATTGGCGGAGGTTGTAATTATTCGACCTTTTAATACGAGTACAGCGATTAGTGATTATCAAATTACGTGTCATTGTCGGTATTAATTTTCCATTGTGTTTACTCTCAAATTGCTATTTTGTATTTGTGTATGACACAATGGCTTCAAGTGCGACTGCGATTTGCTCAACTGATGTTGATTTAGTAAATAGCTTATTAGCTAAACCGTTCTCTGCTCGATCGTCGGTCGAACAGAATGTTATCGTTCATGAACGGCCTACTCCTGATTTAACTATCCAAAATAAGGGAAGAGCATTTCAGAGATTGGTATGAGGCGAAGGACTGGCTGTGTGGCAGTACAACCTTGCAGAAAGTGTTTTGTTGGCCATGTCTAATGTTTTCCCAAAACATCGCCATCGTGGACTAAGAATGGCTACAACGATATGCGGAGTATTATGTCTGATGCTAAGAAGCATGAAAAATCTAAATCGCATTTGACTGCATTTAAGACATGGAAAACGTATGGAGCTAGTGAACGAATTGATTGTCTTATGTCCCTCGCTAGAAGAAATGAGATTCAGCGTCACAATGAGGAGGTAAGACAAAATCGAGAAATTTTAAAACTGTTACTGAGGCCGTGCTGTATTTGTCAAAGCAAGAGTTGCCATTTAGAGGTCACAATGAGTCCAGCTTAGAGTTGCTCGAATGTTTTGCTAAGTTTGATTCTGTATTTGAGCGTCGACTGCACAGTAGACTAGCAGAATCTGATATAGTTGGTGACAGAAGATTTACTGGAGTCTCCCAGAAATTCAAAATGGTCTTATCAGCTGTCTTGATTCAATTATTGAAGATGAAATCAGAAAGGAAATAAATGATTGCACATTTATGAGTATTCAGGTTGATGAAGCATCTGATGTCTCCACCAAAGAGCAGCTAAGTGTTATTGCTCGGTTTGACAAAGCAAGTGAAATTATGGAGAGGCAATTAGGATTTGTGGATGTAAGTATGAACAGAAATGCCACAGCAATATCACAAGTTGTCAAAGATAAACTTGGTGAGTATTCTAATATAAAAGAAAAACTGGTTTTACAAACATATGATGGTGCTTCTGTCATGTCTGGCCATATCAATGGTGTTCAAGCATTGGTTCGACAAGAGTATCCTTTTGCTCATTTTGTTCATTGTGCAGCTCATAGATTGAACCTGGTCCTATGCCAGTCAGCCTCATCAATTTCTCCTGTTAAAATCTTTTTATTAATATAGCTACATTCAGCACATTTACAAGCAATGCCCCAAAAGAAAAGCTTTTCTCACATCTAACAACCTTGAGTTTCCTGCCCTGGTGAAACAAGATGGTATTATCGCTCTAGATTAATCAATGTATTGCACAAAACTATGAAAAACTTTTAGATATTTTTGAGGGTACTTGAACAACCAGCTGGGTGGGATGATGAGTCATTAAGTAAAATAAGTGGCTTACTGCATTATCTTGATAGCTTTCTCTTTTGTTTTCTAGTGTGTGTTTTTTACAGGATTTTAGAACAGTCCACAATTTTGTATTCCATTCTTCAAAATAGGGAAACCCATTTTAACTATGGCATAAGCAAGATTGACAATTTCAAGCAGTTTATTGTGTCACTTCGCACAGATCAAGCTTTCACCGAGTTTTACCAAACTGCACTAGAAAAGTAGGCCCACCAGCAACCAGAGCAGATAGTAGATACAATTACAAACAGCTTTATTTTGAGATTATTGATTCCATTAAAGGCATGTTAAGTGAACGATTTCAAGATATTAATCAGTTCGAGTTTTTAGACCTTGTAAATCCTAAACTATTTACTACATGGAAGGGCATAGTTCCACAGGAGAAGATCAATCTTCTCAAAGATAAGTATAGTCCTCTTTTGACATCCAAACTTTGGAGAGTCAACTTTCCTTCATTTACAACGACAAGGACTTTCACAAAGAGTGCAGTAATGAGGTTCTTAAATACATCTTCAAATTTAATCTCCAGTCGAGTTTAGGTCAAGTGGTAAATTTGTTAAAATTGAATGGTGTGTTGGCAGTGGCAAGTGCTTCAGTAGAGAGGTCGTTTTCTTGCTTAAAAGGGTAAAAGCTATTTAAGAAATAGAATGGGTCAAGGTCGGCTTAGCTTTGTGTAGAATATCTATTCACAAAGATATCATTGAAAAGAAAGAGGAATCAGAGGTGTTGCATAACGAGGTGGTTGAAAATTTGTAGAAAAACCCAGGAGGCTGGCCTTTCTTTATAAATGATGAGTATAGTATGTGTTTTGATATTTGTTCGTATAATACATGGTACTTCATTGAGAAAATTAAGCATAACTTTAAAGAATAAAGCCATCCCTGTCTACTTGCCCCAATCTAAACAAGTTTAAACTAACAAGTAGAATGCTAAGAAAAATCTCTCTCTATGCACTTTAGAAGTGTCGTATACTATATTATTTTTTGTGCTAATACAAATTTCTTCTGTTTATGCAGGGGCAGTGATGAGTAAATTATGTTTTAGGGGACAATTGTCTCCTGCGTAACGTTTCTCTGAGCCACCTTTAGTACCTTTTTAACTAGTTGCAGTCTCAACGATTGTCACATTAAGAATGCAGCTAACAAAAATGGGTTTTTATAAATTATTGTACAACAAATAATTCGCCCTCGAAATTGCAGGAAATGCTGTTTCCAAGGCTCTGGATTTCAAAATTTTCAGGGGGAGCATGCCCCCGGACCCCCCTAGTGGGGTCGCGCCTCCGGCGGGAGTGACTATTTTTCCTAGCTACGCCACTGGCTGTTGCTAGTTTTTGTCATCGGCAAAAACTTCCACCACATGAGTCATGTACGGTAAAAACCATTAAATTTCTTTCAAAAGTGATTCATTCATGGCTGGGGTACAGTGCTATTAACACTGCTCAGTCAGTTCTATCTTCAGTGATTATTCCAAACGCTGGAATCTCATTCGGTAAAGATCCTTTGGTGTGCAGATTTCTAAAAGGAGTATTTGTTCTTAAATCATGTTTACCAAAATACTACAAAAAATGGGATGTGAAAAAAGTTCTCAATTACTTAACACAGTTTCGTTCCGTTGACCAAATTAAACTTAAAAACCTCACAATGAACTTTGCCACATTACTTATTTATTGACGAGACAGCGATGTCAAACCATTCCCATTCCCCGAATTGATGTGAATTTTATTCAGTTTACTTATGATGGATGTGTTATTACCATCAATCACGTACTTAAACAGACCAAGGCAGGGAAACACCAAGTGTCTTTGCACCTATGACCTTACTTAGATGACAGTCAGGAGTCACATGCCAATATATATTATTCACACCCTACCCTCCCGTGACTCTTCGTTCTTTTTTTCTTGAAACTGTCACGTCAAATACTGATCAGTTAAGTACGGGCGCGCTTCTCATTTGATTCCTTCGTTCACAACCATTGAACTAATAAAATACATGGAACACCACCTGTAATAGAAATGTCTAATAAGTTCTTGAAACCAAATTTTACACCCAGACATGCGAGATTACACTCAGACACGCGTGTGTAGTCAATTAATTTTCAGAATCTCGGAACACTACACACGCGTGTCTGGGTGTAAGATTTGGCTTCAACTATTTGCTTTAGGTAGCGTTCGATGTATTTTAGTTCAATGTTCCCGACTGATGACTTGTAGGATCCCAATCTAAATTAAACTTACAGGTAAGTCTCGTTTACTTTTAGAATTTTACATTAAAATATATAGCTAAGGGACGACTTGTTTCAATGACACATTGTGAACATGCTATTTTATGTAAAGTACGTATATTTATACTGATTTAGATCTTAAGGATGTTCCGCAAAGAGATGTATACGTGCTACATTGTCGGTAGGGAATCGTCATTTGTGTAGTAATACCGTAGGTTATACTTTCGTATTTAATTCATAATCGTTGGGCACTTATGAATTGGTATTTTTATTTGTTCATTCAAGCTGCCAAAAAAATTCAAAGCAAAATTAGCCATGAGAGTATGAAGTTTAACTCACGCATTCTTAATGGGAGCAATTATTCTTTCTTGGTTGGCTTCCAAACATTACTGATTTATGATGTTATGAGTGATGACTAAAATAATATGCAGATCACATTATAAAGTTCAAACCACAGAATAGGAAATCTTATTTTGTGCTGAAACCATACAACTTCCGTACGAATATAGGTTGATAAAAGCTTGTACTGAATACTGCATGGTTTTCATGAAATTATGAACGTCTTCATCAATTTCTTGTTTTTCATATTGCTAAAATGTAGGTTCTTAAAGCCACTTACAATAAGGAGCATTTATCCATTGTTTGCATTTAAACCTGAAATTCTGACCTAGATGTCATAAGTGATGAATATTATACAGATCACAACAAGTCGTTCATTATTAAACCATACAACTTCCGCTCAAAAATAAATTCAATTATTTTATACTGAATACTGCTTTTCACGAACTGATAAACGTCTTGATCAAATTAATGTTTTTAAAATGCTAGAATGGAATCTTCTACTGTCAACTAACCAAAGAAAGCTTTTTATTATGAATATATGGTGAGAAAATGCACCAGTTTCGACAATATTAGTTTTGATGGCCAAAATAACAAAGCGACTATCTTGTTTCAGAGATCATGTTTCACGTATCTTGTTTCATAGACAAAAGCAAGGGCACAGAATATATACTATACAGAAGGACCACTCTTGTCGGAGCCTTTGATGTTTTTGAGGCCGCGCATTCTGCTTCGCGCATCTCGGCCGCCATCTTCCTAGCCAGTCAATTTTTGACAAACAATATAAGGATTGTAAAGAGAAGTACAAATATTTGCCTGTATCTCTTCAATAAGGTCGTAGATTTGTTCTTAGCGAGAGTTTGACAAAATTTGAGGTATATTCTATGTCTTTCTTTTTTTACAACGTAATTAAACGTGTTGTAAAGCTCGAAATCTTACATTTCGTTCTGTGACTGTGACCGCTCCTCAGCTTTGTAAACTGCAGTCAATAGAATTTTTCTTATTTTGCCTCGTTAATGACATTAAGTTTGAAATCTCTTGGAATTTTTTACTTACAGTGGTTTGGCCCTTTGATGCAGTTTAGAAGTTCAGATGACCTGCATCATAATGTATTGAAAAAGCGTTGAATCTTGACGGTCACTTTCATTTGGTTCATCCGAGGTGTATGCGGGTTCATTTATTTTCCTTCTAAAGGTGAGTCACTTTTACGTACTTTTTATTTTTTTTTCAACTTGGCGGCTGATAGATTACGATTCGCAAACTTGATGGCATAGTAAATCCTCATTCCTAGGAAGAGTTTGAGGAGATAATCAATTGAAAAATGCGAGCACTGTTCAAATGGGATTGGAGCTTTTTGTAGCAGCTGAAGACTCTTTTTCAAAATACCTACACTTTTCGTATAAGTGGAGAATTCTGTGACAAATATGTCTTCAATTTTAGTGATATATTCATAAAATTCTACTTTTGGTGCAAGGAGACCGCCAAAGCTCTTGTCTGACTCATATGCCTTGAAGTAGCAAAGCAGATTTCTGCTATCATCAAGTTGGTCTGTGACCATAACTGACTCACATATGGAACACTTGTGCTTTTCAAAATGTTTCTGGAGTAAGTATCCAGCTACATAAGCAATTGGATTCTCTTTCATTAAATTGTCACCAACCTCCTTTTCCTTGTAATCCCTTGTCTCAACATCGTCAGTTTTTGTGTTTTTAGATGGAGAAATCAAAACAGGAATGCTTGAGTCAGCTTTGCAGAATTGTGCCAGTAAGTCATCAAAGTCATCATCACAGTTGCCTTGTGATGAATTTAAGAATGAACTAAAAAACAGCTTCCTGAAAGCACGGGTGAACTGGATGGAGGTCGGATTGTCGCTGTTGCCACCCTGCTGACGAATTGCTCCAAAAAAGTTCTCTATTGGGTCAGTATTTAATCTTCTTGTTAGAAGGAACTTAAGCCCATAATTTTGGTGAAGGTTATCCCAAATCTGACAACTCGCATTTATGGTAATTAGCCATCCATTGATGCCCTTTACTCTGCCTAATACGTCTTGGCTGCCATGAAAAATCTTGAGATTAGATAGGAAGTGAATAGCTTGCTCATAAAAGTTGAGGTGTGGAGAGGTATTGGTCAATGCACATTTTAAAGACTTTTGTGAATGTACTGTTGAAACGTTCACAGAATCAAACAGAGAATCAAACTTCAAAAGGCATTCTGCAGTGCCCATAGCTGATGAGGGCAGACATCCAACACTTACATATGTGCATATGGATGCTGCTACTGTGTGGCTTAAGACTTGGGTAGCATATTTCACCTTCATCTTTGCAAAGTTGTTTGGTGCAATGTGCTTATCAGTCTGTTTAGGTGCTGCTCTTATTGACAACTTTTTATCTTTGTTGTAGAAATCCACAATATCCTGCCACTTGGCTGTGAACTGGTTGAACTTGAAAGTGTATTTCATCAAATTATTTCTAACACATTTGATCAGATGTGGTGGATCAAACATCAAATAAATCTTTCTTTGATTGTGCATAAACCAAGGACTCTCTGGACTGATGTTCAGGTGCTTAGCCAAACTTTGAAAATTGCTCCCCAAATCAGACATTACTACAACAACATTCAACCCAATTGCTTTTAATTCTCAGGACAGTTCCGCCATACAGTTTATATTTATTTCTAGTAAAAAACTACAGCAGAAGGATTCTATTAAAATAAAATAAATAGTGGAAATTTGGTCTATGAGATTTACTGCAAGAATACATTACTCAACTACCAACTATTGCTACAACACACAGCATAGATGCCATTTGTCATGGTCAAAGTTGTTTTTTAGTCCAACTAAGATTTATTTGTATACCAAAGGTAAGTAATAAATTATCTTATCATTCAATTAGCTCATGTCTGTCTTTGTAATTGACCAAAATTTAAACAACAGTACAAAACTTCAGTTCAGCCAGTGTGTATGCTCTTATGCAATTCACTATTTCTCAGATACATTATAATGGTATATGATCATTTACAAGATTAATATATCGTATATTTATCTACCTAACCACTGATAAAATGTTAATTACATGTTCAATAAAACTATAACTATATAGAATTTATAGTAATATATTGGTCTTAATGGTATCGTATAAACAGTGCAGCTTTAAATTGGCAGATATTCCTGGATGTTTTCTTCTTAAATAACACAGAAAAATATCCTGAAACACCAAATAAATGTTCTGTAGTTCAATCATCACAGTTCAGTCGTATGGTGTCATAAAGATTCATAGTGTGATCGTTTGACCAAATCGAACATGCGATGACGATGAGTCGGCATAAAGTACGACTGAGATTCCTTAAAACTTTCAGAAAAGTTAAAACATACCTTGCTTTTGCTATTTTATAAATTACGCATCAGATTGAACAGCCTCAATTGAAAAAAATCGACGTTTTCCAGTCTCCACTTCGCATCTTACCATATAGTTTTATATACCGCTGCCAGCTATTGACTGGCCAGGAAGATGGCGGAATTGGAGCATTCGCATAAAAAATTAGCGACAAGTTAACTCAAGAGTGGTCCTTCTGTATAGTGTATATTCTGTGGCAAGGGCGAGACCTATTTCTTTGTCTTTAACGACTCGCGTTTTCTTCATCGGAGTGTTTTTCCTTTCTGTTACAAAGTAAAGAAGAAAGGAATCCAGTGATTGGTAAATGTTTTGATACCGCGGATATCCATCGCTTAAAAAAAGAAAAGAAATAAGCAAAGGTTGGTTAAATTTTTCTTTATTGTCTGGATATAATATGTGCGTCATTATAAACATAGAATCTTACAGCCATGCTAAAGATCGCGAAAAGATTCAAACAAACGTAATGTTTAAAGAAAATAGCAAAAGATAATTTTAGCCATAATTGTGATATAAAGTTGTCTTTGATGAGATAATGCCTAAATTCCAAAGCCGTCATCAGAGAATGTATTCGTAATATTATCAATGTCTTCACATTATGCCTTATAATTATAAAAGGCCCGAGGCTACACGAAGACGAAATATCTGTGTTTTAAAGCAAAGCGCGTATTTGAGCCTTTCAGTGCTGTAGCACTTTGTTTGGCTCAATTAAAACCAGAAGATTTGCAGCGTCAGTTCAGTAGTTTGCTTAATCAAAAGAACGCTAATTATCCAGGGATTAAATAAGATGAGATTGGAATTAATGTCTTTCCGACCATCCATATATTGGAGTCAAAATCCCAATCATTGTTGCTCAAGTTTCATTGCGTTCCGAGTTTTCTATACATTCTCCCGTTATAAAGTTTTTGTCAGAATTACCTGACTGAACATTATATTTTGATTCCGATTCATCGCTTTCTTCGCAAGGGGCAATACTTCGGAAGGAGCACTTTAATTTAATGTATGCTCCCGAGGGAAATAGTGAGTTTTGTTTTCCGAGAGAAATATTGATGAGATTTATAGAAAATTTGCATTAGACTCGTCAAAATTCAGCTAATAATAGAAAATTTTGCACAATCTGTATTAAAGTCTGGTTCACTGTTTTGAAACTTCACTTGAATGATTGGACTGTATTTTGACAATTGTTTTTAACATTTCGATAAGATATTTACAGTGGCTGTGCACGATTTTTACAAGACGGAATTCCAAACGTTGGTATTTCACTATACGGAATATTTGAACGGATAGAGTTAAGATTACGGACAACCGTTAATCCTTAACTTGAGTTTTCGTACTTTATTGCGTTCTGCAATACGGTTGCTAAATTACCAAATTTGTACGACCAATTCATTCACCAAATAGGTCAACTTTTTTCCTTCCGTAAATTTTTTAAAAATTCGTGTGGATGTTTATTACAACAAAAAATATAGCATACGCAAAATAGAACAACTCCCTGAGTTTTAATTAAACAAACTATCCGATTTTTACGGAGATAAAACTCTTATTCGAAGTTTCATCACCGTATCTCGGACTAAACGTTCTCCATCAACTTGTATAATTTCGCGTCTCATTCTTTCAGGCCTTAAGACTTGCACTTCTCTTAATTATGCTCAAATTTCGATTTCTTGCAACTCGTGTCAAATTGGGCATTATATTCAAATGATACTTGTATTTTTCTTATTGTTGTTTATAAGGCGCAAATAGAGAGTTTTAGTTTAGCGTTTACGGCAAACGGCAATCCTAAATTATCCATTTGCCATTGAGGTTTGTTTATTCGAAAAAGTCGAATTAAAGACGTAGTTTTGCATTTGTTATTTAAGATTTGCATTGTCAGGAGCTGTATTTCCTGTTGTATTAACACTCTGTTGATAGCTTAATAGACATATTCATGATTTATACTCACTTAAAACAATTACATTGCGTTACAAAAGTAACTATGTTGTAGTAGAAATATACTAAAAGCTTGCTGTACTTTGCCCACAACAAAAAGGGCCTCCTCCCCTTAAAACCTGAACTGCTAACCGTAACGTAAACGGCAAAGCCGTCATCACGCCTCGAAGAAAATTTGAGTTCTTATAATTTATAATTTTTCGCATCCAAAATAATTCGCTAGCCAATAAGATTTTTTAGCGGTTTTTGATCTTTGCATGCACGTTTGTCTGCCGTACTCAGTTTTTAAAATGGTGGATGTTAAGGAGTTTTTTGCTTGGGAAATGATGGAATTTCCATATCATCTTCCAAATATACTTTACAGAAAACAAAGTTTGAGA